GAATGGCTTGCCTTCCCAAAATGGCCCGAAAAGTCTCTGGCTTAGCATTAAAAGGCAGAAGCCTGCCTAGTAGAATAACTGTTGTGGTGTTGCACGGTGCAGATTTTCTGGACATTGGTCCGTGGGGAGAATAGCGTAAGAGGTATGTAAAGATGTGTTTTAGAAACAAAAAGAGGAGGAAATGCCCCATCCCTGGAGGCATTCAAGGCCAGGCTGGATGGGGCCCTGGGCAGCCTGCTCTAGTGGTTGGCAACCCTTCCCACAGCAGGAGGTTGAAACTAGATGATCTTTAAGGTTCTTTTCAACCCAGGCCATTCTGTGATTCTATGAAAAAATTGTTTGTACTTTGTTTAGCCGTATGGTTTCTTTGTGTGCTTCTGTCTTGTACTGTCACTTGTATGTGGTGAAGCTTAGACTGTTATCTGCCTTTTCCTATAGACCAGAGTTGTGACTGGTACTGCTTATGCCAGGATTCTGGTCAGGAGCCCATTTCTTACATAGTTGGTGTTTATGGGATTGTGACAGTTAAAGTCGCGGTGGTTTTACATCTAACTTGGTTTGGCGGCTTTAACATAGGTATCAAAACATGTTTCAGTGATACTGAAGATGACTGTTATTTCTACATCCTTGTACCCAATTTACTGTTTTATATCTTTTTCTTGCAGTAATAAGTGTGAGACATTCCCACTGGCTACACGGGTTAATATTGTGTGTGTGGGGCTCTCTCCAGATGGAAGTCTCGCCATACTAATTGATGAAGGTACTTTCATAAAGAAGGCATTGATTTTATAGAAAAATGAAATAAAAATATAGCCTGAGGAGGAAAGTCTCTATTGCTAGGCGTTCAACCTTAACACAAATTAGAAGTGCTCTGCTTTGAAGATTGTGTTAGAATTTCAGGGAAGGGTGTCTTTATTTGCAGAACTTAAGAAGAAAATATTTACAGACTTTAGAAAGTGACTTGTAATTTTGATTGTATTTCTCTTCTTAATATATTAAGCACACTATCTTGAAAAGTTTCTGAGGAGGTACTTCCTGCCCCCTTTTAAGGAAATAAACTAAGCTTGCTAGAGTTATGGTTTCTTTGGAAACTGGATTATTTCCATGATCCTCCTTTTTCTGCCCTTACAGAGGGAGCTGCCTTGCTTGTCAGTTTGATCGGTAAATGTGTGATACATCGCTTCTATTTTCATAAGCCAGTTCACAGTGTCAGCTTCTCCCCTGACGGCAAGTAAGTAAAATGTGTATGCTTTAGAATAACTAAGAAGACATTTTGACCAATCTGGGGGTGATGCGTTGTTCATTAATGTAGGGTGGGCTTTTTGATGATTGGAGTTGCTTTATCTGTGAAGTTAAGAGGGGAAGAAAAGAGGAAAAGCAAAGCCTTGGAAAAAGATACTATCTGGAAAGTTGTGTGTCTGAGACGTTTGTCTATAGCGGAACTCTTAGAAACATAGATGATTTGCTGTGAGTCGTAACTGTTATTATGTATCATAGGTAAGGTGAAAGAGCCCATGGTGGTGGGGACAGTCGGTGCTGCAGGGTTGCATGATGGTGCTGGTGGCAGCACACTTTCACTGGAGACTTGGGTGTGCTACTGAAAGTGGCAGGTCTCTGAATTGAGTCGTTCTTTTTGCATCCTTTGTATTTTAACTGCATGGTCACAGATTCAAAGCGTGGTGACAGAAGCGTCAGAAGGGTGAGAGGAAAAAGTACGGAGTTCCTCTTCTTAGGCATTCCTCAGCTGGATTGACTTAAAGTGATGATGAATGAATTTTTGTTTGAAAGTTGGAGTCACGGTTGTGTGTTACGGAATTAGATACTGACGACAGGACCAGATTAGAGAATATGTGTAACAGGGATGCAGATGCTTTGTATTTGTGAAAATGGCCAATATATGGAGGTGAAGAGAGGCTGAAATAGAACGTCTTGTTTTGAATGAACTTTTCCTTCTATTGTGAGAATTAGAGAATAAATATTTCATTATTCAACTTAAGTGATTTTTACTGAAATTTTTATGTCTTATAATGTGTAAGGTATACCTGCGTTCATGAAGTTGGGGGATAATATCAGTCTTCAAATGATTTGTTTTTGAATTAAAAAAGAAAAATCTATATTTGTCACTTCAGTAATGCAGAAACCTTTTTAACATTGTTTTGTTTTGTTGTATTGCGGGCTGTACTGAACAGTTGTTTGCTTTAACAGCTTTGTGTGCAATATGCTCTTTTCCTCCCCATATGACAGGAAATTTGTGATTACAAAAGACAATGTTGCTCTTATGTACCATGCTCCTGGGAGGAAACGAGAATTTAATGCGTTTGTTCTGGACAAAACTTACTATGGTCCATATGATGAAACAACTTGTATCGACTGGACTGATGATTCCAAGTGAGTTGTTAAACTAAAGCACTGTCTTCCTGCGCACATTATTAATATTTGTACGCGTGTTATAGTCCATTTACTTTGCTCTAAAGTATTGTACTAGCTTTAAAAATTTTTTTTGGCTTTTCTGATTCTATCTTGAATTTAAAAAAAATATTATTGTTAGGCAGACTAGAAAGTATAAAATGTGCATGTATTAGGGATCAATAATGCGTTCTTGCTTGAAAACACCTATCTTAGGAATGTGAGCATGGTTGACCTTTTGAATGTATTTAATCCCATCCGCCTTAGAGTTGCCAACCTCTGTGTGTAAAATTACTTTTAAAGTGATGACTGGTGTCTTCACACAGTGAAGAGTTTTGGAAACCAGTGTTTTAATTCAAATTGCCTTTTCTTTTGTAGGTGTTTTGCAGTAGGGAGCAAGGACATGTCTACATGGGTATTTGGAGCAGAACGATGGGCAAACTTGATCTACTACTCACTTGGAGGGCATAAGGATGTAATAGTAGCCTGCTTTTTTGAAGAGAACAGTCTAGATGTATGTATAATCATGCAACATTCTTGAATTTTAAGTTGAATAGTTTGAATAGTTGAAGCAGAATCTTATCTGTAGGTAAGGATGTTGACTATTTTGATAATGTGTCAGAATTTACAAAATAGGTAAGTAATATATCTGTCAACTCCTCTGCTGTGATTGGGAGTTTAAAATTCTGTGAACATTTACAGTAAACTTTGGAAGGGTAGTAAGCTTAAATAGCTTACTTAAAGTTATAATTTTAAATATGAAAAAAATTAATTAGCTGTAATGACAACTGATAACCAAATTGCCTTCCTTCTTTTAAAAAATTATGTAAGGGCAGGTGAAGTAAATCACTAGTTCTCAGGACAAGTGAATTTTCCACATCAAAGCACCTCAATTTCTAGAGGATTAAGTAATATGTTATCCTAATGATAGAGTGCAAAATTACTTAACCCTTCTGCAATTCTATATTTATAACAAGACAGCAGAGCACAACACATGTATCGCACAGTAATTGTACCTTTGTGTGTTTGTGTTCTAGCTGTACACAATTAGCCAGGATGCAGCGCTCTGTGTGTGGCAGTGTGATACAGAGCTTGATGGTTTGAAGCCTATGCCCCCTAAAGATGCAGCTATGGAAGAGAATGCAGCAAACAATGATGAAGAGTTTCTTGAAGAGCCGAAGGGTGAAGAAATTCACGGAAAAGCCAATCCAAATGAACAAGAGACTAGACATAAAGTTAAATATTCACGTGTTGCGAAGTAAGTGATTTTAAGTTTTCCAAAGACAGTTATTATGGGGATTTACTATATTGGGCTTTTTTCACCCTTTATCATTCATTTAAAGCAGTATAAAACTCTGCCCAGGATTTAGTACTTTACTATAGACCTCATTTTAAATAGTTTCAGGAAAGCACGTGTTATGTCTGCCTCGAGTATATGAAGGGCGATACCCTTCGTCTTCAGAATTTTAACATATCAGATACTGATTAACATATCAAATACTGATCTATGATGTATGTTTTAGTGTTTGAAACTCAAAAATGTGAGGAGATCTTCAGTACTGTATCCTCTGACTAAGTATAGAGGCTTTGAGTTCTTGCAAGAAGGGATTGGTTGACTTCAAGAGGTGACAGCAGCGTTTCATAAAGATAGGTCATCAGCCTCTTTGGTAAACTACTTGGAGATGCCATCCTGAATGATCTCGCTATCTGTCCGCATCAAAGGAGACATGGCTTACAAAGATGGTCACAGCATTTAGCTATGCTTGAAGAGGGATAACGTTCACAGGCAATCTCTTTTGTCAGTGAAGTGAGGGAGAGATGGGATGCTTGTAGGGGCCAGTTGGGAATACCTGACATGAGGCTTTTGTTCTCAGTCTCTCTGACTGTAAAGGCAGTATAAAGAAGTACCCTACCCCAACCCAGGTTGGAATTGGCCTCAGGGAACATCTCTTCTAGACTGAAAAAATTTGGAGTATACAACTGTTGGATATTGTTCAGCTGCTCTTTTATTTTACCATCGTATGATGCTTACCTGTTTAGTTACAGTAAGCAATACAGCTACGAAGAAACTGAGAAAACCTTCTTCACCAGTTGTATAATATTTATGAATATTGCTTCTGTTTTTTCCTTTGTAAGAGTACTCACATGTAGAAGGATAGCCAGTGAATTCATGAGAGTATTGGCATTAGATGATCAAAAGGAAATGCACAGTGCTGTTCCTCTGAGGTTACCTTTTAGTCCCTTTCATTGCACGTGATCAAGTGTCGCTTCCAATAATCAGATCACTGTAGCAGCTGTAGATGTTAAGGAAAAGAAGAGAATTAGCTTTTACTGGCTACATAAATTACGTATTTAGCAATTCCTGGAACTACTGCTTTTTAGTTTTATTGCAAGATACTTTGATCAAAATGTTTGGCCTATATTGAAATGCAACTGTAACAGCCTACTTTTCTTTCACATTGTTTACTTTTTTCTTATTTCTTTGATGCCAGGTATTTTTTCAATAAAGAGGGAGATTTTAATAATCTGACATCTGCAGCTTATCACAAGAAGACACACCTTTTAGTTACTGGTTTTGCCTCTGGAATCTTTCACCTCCATGAGCTTCCAGATTTCAATCTGATCCACTCCTTGAGGTGAGGTATGGGATTGTGGTTTTTTTTTTTTGGTTTGATTTTGTGTGGAGGGGGCACGTTTGCGGTGGGGGGTTTGTTTACTTGTCTGACTGAGAATACACCTTATTTGTCAGTGAAGGATGAATAATCGAGCATAAAAATCTTAAACATGAGTATCTATTCAGTATTTATCTGGAAAGGCAGAATCACGGACTTGAAATACCATATAAATCTGTTCTATCGCTTATTATGGGAAAGTGAGGTCTGAATGAGGAACTCCTGAGTAGTTAGTTGTTGGCTATAGATTTCTTCAATGCTTTGGACTTCATGTTGTCAGTTTCTTTGTAGAAAATGAAGATAATAGCTGAAAAAAAAAGTTCTTTATGTGTAAAATTATCTGTAAATTGTCTCAAAGTTGAAAAATAAAACCATAGTTCTTTTCCATCATTGTATGATGCTAGTAGCTAAAGAATGCATGATTTCCCTGTACAAAAAAAAATATTTTTTTCTTCAATATAGGGAGTTTTACTCTATGCTGGCAAGTATGTCTTTGGGATGCAGATACCCTCTTCATTCTAAATAAGGCAGTGATGTCTGATGTTTTTGACTATAGTAAAAGAAAGAACGTGTATGCTGCTTTTGATGTTAGTCATACAGAAACTCAGTAAAGTAACCAAAGAACTTGCTTAAACAGAGGAAATAATCCCTAGATTTGAAGTTTTGTCACACAAGGCATGGAAACACACGTTTGTTGGGTAATTCTCTTATTTCAGTATTTCAGACCAAAGGATAGCTTCTATTTCTATCAACTGTACTGGTGACTGGATTGCCTTTGGATGTTCAGGTTTGTAAATTTTTTTGGTCTATATGTGTTTTGTGGCTTGCATTTGCAGGGTCTCATTGTATTAATAATTCTGGTTAATTCTTCTCATGTGTTCGTAGGTTTGGGTCAGCTCTTGGTGTGGGAATGGCAAAGTGAGTCCTATGTGCTGAAGCAGCAGGGACATTTCAACAGCATGGTTTCATTAGCATATTCTCCAGATGGACAATACATAGTTACTGGAGGGGAGGATGGAAAAGTAAGTGATGCAGTATCACTGAAATATGAACTGAAGTCTTAATAATGTAGTAAGCAGCTTGAATTTCTATTTTACATAGAAAACTGTGTTACTGTAACTTTTTTAAAAATATAAATTCATAATTCTTGGCCTCACGTAAATGTTTTGTTTTTTCTCTGTATGAAATTTATATTTTTTAGAAATATATATAAAT